CAATTAAATGCCGCAAAAATTTAAGCAAATATTATAAAAAAAATTAATGATTGCAAATATATATGTTAGATACCGCTAATCTTCGAAGTAGAGATTATGACAACTTAGACAACCAACTTTACAACTGCCACAAACAAACGACTCATTTCATGAAGTAAGTATAATACTCTCAACACCATCGAGTGGAATAAAAAACGATCAAGACAGTTTGACACCAGGCTGAGAATATGTATAAGTAATATTCCACATTAGGAGACCCTTTCGTAAGTCGTGTACCATAACCTGCTTCTGTAATGGAATAAAATATTTGACGCCTTGTTGAAACGGTGCCGGACATGTCAGCGTTGCATTTATTAGCACTTCACTACTAACAAATGCGTCGAATCGATCGAGTTGCTTCCACTTTTCGCTTTATTGCCGGCGTGTGCTCAACCCCAGAGCAAAAGTTCTCCATGTTGCCACTAAATTTGAAATCGATATTTATTTTATTTTTACGACCAGGATAGTGTCAACAACACACATCCCACAGATATACAGACGCACACATACACAGAACCACAGACGAAAAGATATGGTTAAATCGATTGAGAATTTCGCGCGAATTTATTAACTACATATATACTTTATAGGGTCTTTGAAGTTTCCTTTATAGCATGCTTTGAAGTTTCCCAGGTGTTCCTGATAACAAATCATACTTGATGGTATTAATATAGGTATCCTAGAAGCTAAAATAACTACTGCTTTCCGGGAGGATATAACATTCATTACGCGCTAATTAATAATAGATCCGTCAAAAGGTTAATAGATCGTTTGTCGAAGATGACGAATAACAGAGACCATTAACAGAGTTTAGGTGGCATGATTGAAAGGGCGCCTGCCTCTCAATGGGTACACCTGTGAAGACCACTAGTGAAAATGGTGTACTAGAAGGGGAACGAGTGTCTGGATGGAGAGCTTAGAGAGATTATCAACTAATAGTAGGAGATCCAGAAGCAAGATATTTTCAACTCTGAACACATTAATCCTTTTTGTTCTTCGTTTGTTGTGTGAGCAATACATTTTTATCGAAAGACCTATTTACTCTACATTTGTAACAAACATCTCTGATATGTTTTACCATTTCAAGCCTGCTCTACCACTTAAATTAAACTGAACCATTTTCATTCATATTAAGGATAACTTTATCTATCCCAATAAGCTATAATGTACTTTTGATCTTAGATCACATTCTTTAACTGCTTCAAACAGCACGATACCATTTCTTGGGATCCTCTAGATGCTATAATTTCATCTCAAACCTAATCTATATTAACTTAACCCTTATGAAAATTTTTGAAGCCTTGATTCAATACCGCTTATAATACGCACTTAACACTATTAACTTAGTTTTAATTTGATAGAGCATTTTATGGATCAAATGAGAATGTAAATCTCTGTCGGCTCATTTTATATGGTGTCTGATATGTATTTCGATGAAAAATGTTGGCAAACATGAACCTACTGATATTAAAAACCCATATTTGATATTTTACGTTTTCATGAAAATTAGTTGAATTTCTGGGACACGTATTTCTAAAGAAAGTGAAAAACCAAGCACACAATCATAGCGCGTTGCGTGCATCATACCGCTATTAAGTGTCGAAAAGATTAACAACAATTGTCAGAAATTGAACGGCGAAAGAGATTAGCGGATTAAAAACCCCGCGATGAATTTAGGTAATGATAACTTGCTTTTAGCAGGGTATATAAGCAGTATATGTGCGAAAGGCAAAGACAGTCGAAAATTGAGTCAAGAGGGAAGTTGAGTCGTAATGTAAAAGCGAACTTGAATAAAAGCTTTGAAATTTTAATTTCCTGAATATAATTTGTAAATAGATTACGTAAGAATTGTAAATAAAACCTAGACTATCCTAAAAATCACAATACAGTGATACGAACTTTATTTCAAAAAGAGTTAAATAAATAAAATAGAAATTGCGAAAAACGATTTACGTTACCCTATTATACTTCTATTATAGACAAAAATATTATCGAACTGTTTGGGGGTGATTGGTCAATTACATATATACTTTGAAAAGTTGACAATAGTTATGTTTAGGGAAAGAAAATATTTTCAATATCACAAGCTACACTACATTTAAGAGAAACGAAAACAAACAAAGCAAAAAACAAAAAAAAAAAAAAAAATAAGAGCAATGATTATGCAAAACTTATTACAAACATTTACTTCGTCTGCTCTCATTTGAAGCTAATAAATCATTAATAACAAAGAAATTATTTCATCGTGTTTTTGCATTTTTTTTTTTTTTGTTTTTTTTTTTTTTTTTGTTTTGATTATTCCATAAATACGCTAGATACGCTCAACAACTAACTTTGTTAGTTACAATGTATCCCCTTGCGCTGCTATCATTCCATATAATACTGTGCAAATATGTTTTATTCATGAAATTTTGTTAAAATTCAAATCATTTGAACATCTTTTATTTTTATGAGCATATATGTAAAATTTGTTACCTTAAAAAAAAAACTATATACAAAATTTATGCATACTAAGCGTATCTTTGTGCATGCAATTCACAATCAGCGTAAAATCAGAAAAAACTCAGTTAGTCACTGTGTGGTTGTCAACGTTCACCCTTTCTCTCTATGATAAGATAATATGTGCGCCTCTTAAGTGCTGACAGCTTTTTTAATTTGCATTTACCATTTGCTTTAATATATATATATATATATATATATATATATATAGAGACAGAGAGAGAGAAAGAAAGAGAAATAATGTAGGAAAAGGGAAAATTTCTGAGATATTATTAAAATATTCGTAAAATCATTATACCTGCATTCAACATAAGTTTCTTACAACGAAAAGATTGTCACTCGAAAAGAAATAACTTTAATAAACTTTCCCAAGAGATAGTATATGGACATGTCTCTTCAGCTTAAACCTTGTTTGAAAAATATACACTAACTAAGTCGAATAAGCAATATTTCAACATATTTGTATTTAACTTTTTAACAAAGAAACTAATCTGAAGAAATTCTATCCATTTTTTGCAAAATTTATTTCATACTTCTCGAAGATTTCCGGAAATAGAAATTCGGATATCAAATGGATCTTTTTGCACATATACCGGTTACCACATCTAAAGAATAACGCACACACACACACACACACGCGCGCGAATGCTTAACATAATATCAATGGTTCAATAGCCAAATCGATTAATTCCAATTTTTTTTTTAAATTTTCTTGTCAAAGTTTTCTTTAAATTTCGTCGACTACGCCTAACTGCATGTATTCAAAATAAATATTTCTAGCAACAAGAATTCACAAAATGATATGACAACATTTTTTAGCCATTGATTAACAAATAACATATTTCGGAGTCCAATCCATATTCTAAACTAAATTGAAATTAAAATATTGTTAAAATACCTGATGAAAAATTATATAAATTAAAAAAAAAATAATTAAAATTAATTAAAATTATTAAAATATACAAGGGAAAAGCGAAACAACATAAACACTATGTTGCATGTCGGCAACACTGTCTCCGCGTAAATAATGCCACGCGTATAGAGTATACCAAGTGTTTCAGTATTTCGGTGAAATATGTCACTTCTCGACTGAAGTGTTTAACATTTCACGAGCAACAATATCCACGATAATGATATCATACACAAAACATAGTAAAATACATTCGGCGAAAAGTAAGAGCCAGGAAGAGACACATTAACGCTATCACATGTTGAAGTGGGGACCATATAGCCAGAATTAACTTTAACACCAAGCCTCTTGGGGCAAATTGAAGTCCCTCAACACTATGACTATGATCAGAAGGTTTAGACTTAACAGCAGCAGCATAACCGCTTACCGTCGATTTTCGCCCGAATAGCAATAAATTCCACGTGATAAAAAATAGGAAATTCAACTAAAAACCATAAACAGCAATGTTAGGCGTTAGTCTTATCACGACTATTGCCTTTCGAGAGGGTACTGCCGTCAAGCAGTCGTCATTCGCATTAGGAATATTTGGAATCACAGATAGGGATTTTTGACTGATGGAGAAAATAAATGGTGTGACTCCACTTACTGGTGCAATATGTGCGACTTGTCCAGCAAGGTGCATAGTAGATACAGCCGAACAGCTAAGAAGAGAGGCGGATCTATTATTTTTTGGGGATATAGACTGAATGGCACCACTAGGACGATACGAGGCGGGCTGCCCGGCTTATTTATATTATTGGTAGTATCAGTTAACTTTACGATGGAAGAAATGCTAATCTTCTTTGGAGGCAAGGATAGAGCACTCGCTACCTTAACCAGATTTGTCAATGGCAGATCCCCAAGTTCTATCGCTGCCGATGAGGAATGATGGTGAGCAACATGTCCAAATATGGAAGATTTATGCGAAGACGGAAGAGAGGTGCAGCATGCTACGCTGCAAGTTGGTCTTGTGCGAGTTTGCAGAGAAGGTAACGGCTCTAGGTAGTGACATGCACCAGCCAATGCCATGAGTTCTTTATCTGATTCAAAGAAACTCTTTTTTGTCCCCATTAAGGGATAATAAAAATCAATATCTCCAGTGGGGATAGGACCAACGTCATCCCTTCGTTGAGTCTAAGACGGCGTCTGCTGCTCGACCAATTCTACCTGTATATTTTTTGTGACAGTATCGCTCGCGAAGCCAGCAGGTGATGACGCGATCTGATTCAGATTCACTTTTGGCTCGGGGACATGGGGTAAACAAACATTCCATGTTGGCAGACATGAAGATAAGAAAAATGTGTTAAGTATTTGCAATGGTAATTACGCACTATTAAAACACTACAATAGCGAGAGCAGCAACAAGCTTAGTAGGCACTAGGAAGGAGTCAGTTAAATGCAGAGATGTTTGAAGAAAAACAAAAAAAAAAAACAAATCAAGCAAGAAATAGAAAAGAAATAATAAAATGACAGAAATAAAATAAATCATAAGCAAACGTCATAAGGAACGAAGAATTTTCAAATTTTCAATTCCATCGAAACCTTTATTTAAACATCGCCGGTCACTCAATTGATTTTTGCAAAAAAAATATGGCTGAAGCAGAATTTACAGACAGTTGTAGACCACGTTCACAACAAAAAATAGCGCTTTTTCATGATATCAAGGGAGAAGATGACGACTGTAAAATCGATTCTTCCTTGGATGATACCAGTGATCTTGCTAGTGCAGACGGAATTAGTGAAACCGCTAGCTCAAGCGCAACAAGTGACGCCACCATCGCCAACCCGTCGAATGAAGTGGGAGCATCCGTCTATCTAAGGCTGCGTCCAGTAGATTGTCCGACTTCAACGTTTGCTATTTCTAAGGAAGGAAATGTTTTGATTTGCTCCCCACCTCATGAAGCAACAAATTTAAATAAGAATTCGACGGAGAAGCACTACAGTTTTACAGATATACTCGATTCACACGTTAGTCAATATGAATTGTATAAAAAGTGTATTGGGCAGAAAATAATCGCGGAAGAAAGTTGTACCGTTCTAATGTACGGAATTGCAGGATCAGGCAAAACGTTTACATTACTTGGCGATGACCATCGTCCTGGCATAATACCTCGCTCCCTTGAAAATCTATTTTCCTTATATGAAGGTCAAATATATCCGAATCCTTCCGCTAAACTTATCAATGGGCAAATAACAATTTTGGAAGATAGTGCGACTGGTAAAGAAAATTTAATACGGAAGAAGATATTGGCACAAAGCTTAGAGCTTGAAAGCCAGCACAAAAGTATCCAACAGTGTATATGGAACGAGCATCGTTTCCCGAAAGGCCCCATTGACGATGCTCACGTATTAATTTGGGTAACCTTCGTCGAAATTTATAATGAACAAGTTCATGATCTATTAGATAGCGATGCTCCTAAATATGGTGTGCAGCCAAATGCTTCTAAGAAAAATTTGAAAATAATTTGCAATGACGGCCGCGTGTTTATTAAGTCGGCAACATCGATCTATGTAAAAAATAGCTTGGAAGCATTGAAATTATTGCGTTATGGTCAGAAAAAGTTGACATATGCATCAACTTTAATAAATGCGAACTCCAGTCGATCCCATTGCATCTTTCTATTGGATGTATTAAAATATTATATAGGCGTCATTAAGAGGGTAAGTGGTGTCGTTTATTTAATGTAATAACAAATGCTCTCATATTATAGGTCGCGTAGTTAAAGATAAATTCATTCTTGCCATTTGATTCTATTCGTAAAGGCTCTCAACCTAAAACTGTTTAACACACTATGCATTCTATTTTCCAATTTTTTTTTGCAGATTTCATATAAATTTTGTGACTTGGCCAGTTCTGAAAGACTGGATAAAACGGGAAATGTTGGCTCTCGACTTAAAGAAGCTCAACGCATAAATACATCACTTATGGTTTTAGGTATAAGTATAGATATATCCTGTGAGTATAGATATATCCGGTAATGAAAATGCAAAATGTAGAAGATATTAATCTAATTGTTTAAAATTTCATTCTTTCTCACTTTAACAGCGGTGGCCCTTCGATTTCTTAATTTAACAACGGTGGCCCTCGGATTTCTTACTTTAACAGCGGAGACACTTCGATTTCTTAATTTAACAGCGGAGACCCTTCGATTTCTCACCTTAACAGCGGAGACCCTTCGATTTCTTACTTTAACATCCGTGGCCATTCGAACTCTTAATTTAACAGCGGTGACCCTTCGATTTCTTAATTTAACAGCGATGGCCCTTCGATTTCTCACTTTAACAGCGGTGACCCTTCCATTTCTTAATTTAACAGCGGTGGCCATTCGAACTCTTAATTTAACAGCGATGGCCCTTCGATTTCTCACTTTAACAGCGGTGTCCCTTCGATTTCTTAATTTAACAGCGGAGACACTTCGATTTCTCACCTTAACAGCGGTGACCCTTCGATTTCTTAATTTAACAGCGGTGGCCATTCGATTTCTCACCTTAACAGCGACGCCCCTTCTCTCGCACTCGACTAGTTTATATTTTCTACTTATTAGTAATAAGATAAACAAGAACAAATGCTGAAAATTATGCTTAAGCAGATAATTGTAAAATAAGTATAGTGAACACTAGCTTACCTGATGGATTAATTATCGTTTTAGGGCGTTGCCTGGACGCAGCCAGTGCAGCTGGTAACAAGGCCGAACGTGTACCTTTTCGTGAATCAAAACTTACAATGTTATTACAAACGGCACTCCAAGGTAGAGAAAAGTTAACAATGGTAGTCAATTTAACACCTTTGGATAAATACTATGAAGAAAATTGCAACGTGTTAAACTTCGCCTCAATCGCTAGAAATGTAATATTCAAATCATCAATAGCATTCAAAAATCGTAGACGATGTTCGAATTTCTCGGGAAACACCCGCTTTGATATAGAGGAAAACGATAAAGCGAAAGACGAAGATTTGGCGGAAGAAAATGCACGGTAAGTTGATGACAGTATTAATTGGGTTAAAATATTTGAAAGCTGTTTTCAGTTTACACGAAGAATTGCAATCATTGCGTGCACAACTGGAAGAAAAAGATCAATTTTTACACATCAAACTTCAACAGCTAGAGGAGGTATTACGTGCCCAACATTCTGAAGAAATGGAAAAGCAGGAGTATACGTTGAGGAATAAATTAGTAGATTGGTTTAAAGTTACTTTGGCCGAAACCAAAAAGCAAAATGAAAAACGTTTACAGATTGAATTAAGTTGCCAAGCGCAAATTTACGAAATGAAGGTATTTTATATTATCACTGATTGCAAGCTATATATATGATATCGCTTAAATCGTTTTCAGATTGCTTCACTTACTACAAAATATAAGGCAGAGATTGAAGATCTAGAGGAAGAATTGGAACGCCAAGAGTAAAAATTTATTCCAACAAATTGAGAATTTTTGTGTTCTATCTTCTACGTTTTTATTCAATGTTTTAATTATTTTCATCAAATATATACAAATATTTACAGAGAAACTTTAAAAAGTTATTTACAGTAGATGGGTTAGATCACGACCACCACCAGATCAGTGTTCACAGATTCAAATATCAAATGTGGCAGAATTTATTTTGCCATAACTGTAGTCAATGCTCGGCCGTTAAAGGCGTAAAATTGATCGATTGGCTCACTTTTCTCACTTGACCGTCGCAGCGTCACGCGGACATCCATTAGAGCATAGATCTTAGTCGTCCAATTAAGTTTTCTAAAAGAAATTCTATGAACGTTATGTGTCAGAATGCAGGTGTAACGAACGTTCATTACCTTATATAAAAAAGGGTTTTTAAGGCCAATAAATGATTTCTGCTTTGAAATTTTTACGATTTCACCTATTTTAAGATTGATGTAAAGCGAAAGCTTTTAATATTTCACACATTGTTTTTTTTTTTTTTTTCGTTATTCGTTTCGTTATTGCTGCACTATTTTAATTTTGCAAATCACCCGACACAATTGTAAGGGTAGGTTAAGTTTTTGAAATATATCAACGCCTACATCTCCATGACGTTTTTTGAAAATTTTTTTGACAGGCATTTTTCTTTTGTCAAGTTATACAATAATTCGAAATCGTCTAAACTGCTTGGTTTTCGGTTAAGTCCGATTATTTCCAAAAGTGGCGAAAGCTCATAGTCACTTGCCCGAGCGCTTTTAGAAGCGTTAAAGAAGCGTTGATTAAGCCCATTGCTCTCCAAGGAAAAACGACTTTTGTAAACGGAGTTAATAAAATCATCACAACCAACAAAATCAACTATTTTGCTCTTTCCGTAAACTATTCCGTTCGCCTTTTTAAAATGCACATACACAGGCAGGAAGACTGAAAGTAAAGGCAAAGCTGAGTAATAAGGTGTGTAGGAGTAGTAGTTGACGACTTTACATCAAAAGCTATCGACAAATAAGTCTAGAAAGCAAATTGATGTATAACGTTACATAGCAGAGCATGACAATGCTCAAACATGCTTAAGAGTTATATTCCAAATAACAATCAGATTGAAATAATTTCAATGCCATTTACTAATCTTAACAACACAACCCAGAAAGAGGGCTACTGCCGCTGGTTGTGACGGAGCGCTGTCTTTGCGTAGTTCGGCTGTGTTGCAGGCACTTAATAATTCCTGGTCTAATAACATCGTCCCAATCGAATTGCGATGAAGTAAAATGATTCCCGCTCCTAAAGTAAATAAAGACGTCATTGTTTTAAGCAACTTCAGACTCATTTATTAATTTCAGTGTTCATAAGATTTCATGGTTAAGCAGGGACTGATGGATTTCTTCAACACTGAAAGATAGCTCCGGCTCGTTTCTATGCTTTTCAAGAACGCGAATCTACCTACAAACATGCGTCTTAATGAATTGTTCTTCTTTTTCATAGCCAGCCAGCCAGCCAGCACCTGCGATTATATTAACAAGAAGCTCACTTGAGGGACAAACAAAAAATTAGCGTCAAAAAACAACAACAAAATAAAGCACAGAATAGAATACAAAAGAGAGCACCAAGCACGAGTAGCAGATCATAAAATGATCTGAGCCGTAATAAAGCAGCGATTATTTTGAAAGCTTTTTTGAAAGCAATCAAAAAATCAATCAGAAAAAAAACAAATCAGAAATAGTTCGCAAAAATTTGTCGGCACAAAGAAATAATACGTTTACAACGCGCGCCCAGATTTTCCGAACTATATGATATGAAATAAAACTTAATTTAAGATTAAGAAATTATTAGTTTTTTTTTAAATTTTCCTTAGAAACATACATACAAACCGCTTGCTGTAGAAAAATAAAAACCACATACGCGTTCACATTTGCGCATACTTGTACATACACAATTAGACAATACAAAGTAAGCTAAGCCAGAACACATTTCTATTATATATTATTTCTATTTTTTATACGTATATATATATATATATATATATATATATATAAATATATATTTTATATATGCATATGCTTAGTGTGCAAGCATGGTATATACATGTGTTTTTATTTGTTGTTGTCTATTGTTCGTTTTGTTATGCATAATTATGGCATTTAGATACACAACGTCACAATTGTTTTTTTTTTTTTTTTTTCTTTTTCTTTTTTATGAACTCTTTTCCTTGTACTACACAGTCTTCCGTCACAGTTTGTCACAATGACTTGAAATCACATAAATCAAAAAGCCATCAAGGAAATACAATGTAAAATATCTTAGATTTTACTTTTTACCATTGAATATGTAATTATGAAAATGGTCTAAGTCGTACATTATTCATGTCATTATATATGTAAGTTATTTGAGAATAAAATTCAAGCGGATACTATCAGTAGGCAGTATGCAGTAACTAATTCAATCTAGGAGATTGAGTTTACAATAGTAAGGAAAGTGGAAATTCTTCTGCGAAAAATGTAGTTAAGAAACTCTTCGGTAAAAAGTTTACTTACTCTTTTCGCTTATTAATTTAGATTATTTCACATTCTCTCTACTTTCACCTATTATTATATTTATTTAAAAAAATTTTATCCAATTATGACGTTAGGTTACTATCAATATTAACGCCAACAGTAAAACGGAACATTCATGCATCTATTTCATGAAATCGGGTAAATGTAGTGTAATCGGGGACTGACGCAATGAGACGTCATTTTCGTTGTCAGATTAAAAAGTCCCAAGTGATAATGGACGTAATAGAAATTTGTAGAAAATCTACAAAGTTGAATTTCCAATCCGAAAATAGCAATAACGCCTCAGTGTTCGATTACACATTACTAAAACGACTTGTTAACATTTGTAGTCTTCTCTGCCATCCAAAGGAAGGTCTCCAATGAGAGTTAGCGCTACAAAAAAAGACGAATACTTTGACTACCCACGAATATATCCGTTGTTCTAGACAATGTTTTATTTAACGATTAACAATTCTTTGATTGCTTATGTCCTCGTATTCCTCTAGAGTGACTAGTCCTCTAAAAAAAAAAAACCAAATATAAATTATTTTCATAATAAATTTCATTTTTTTTTTTTTTTTTTTTTATATTTTTGACTTAAACAACTTCTGCAATTCGTAGCGTTACCTCCACTTGAATAAAGCGCAAAATTTGAACGTGAATTAGAGAAAGCAGCATAGCGCACCAAAACTTGAAATTGATTTCTTCTCCACCGACTCTGACGGAATACTTTAATACTGCTCATCGCTTTATTATATAATTTTTGGCGGAAAAATAATTTCTATATCCCTCAGAAATATGAAATGAAAGTTGTAAAATTGAATTCTACCAATGTGCAAATTATAAAAGAAATTTCAAAAAATTAGGTCTAATGTGTAAATGTTACCAACAAAATGATTAATTAAATGTACCTCGTATTTTGTTAGCGAGCATGAAAAACAAAGGGACCTATACATGTATTTCAAATCCTGATATGGTGCGTCAAATGCACAAACTGCACAAAAACGAAGAAAAAAACAGGTTGAAAGTTCTTCCAACGGAAAGTGCATAAAAAAAGCTGAAGGTCATATAAACCAAAAAAAAAAAAGGGAAAAATAAAACAAAAATAATAATAATAATTTCGCTGTTGTTTGCGTTAAGCTAAACAAAGTATGTAATTAAGGACATTAGAGTGCTATGGAGTGCAGCGTGTAAGGCATAAAAGAAATGGTGGCGTTAGTTTAAATGACATGAGACATTAGCGCGGTCATAACTGTCATTAAAATTGTGCAAAAGGCAGAGAGACAGTAGGTTAGTGTTTTGCTTTTCCTCTTTTCCCATTTTTATTTTTTCTTTTTTAATTTTTTTTTTTTTTCTTTCAGTTTATTTTTGTATTCTATAAAAGAAAGCAAAATTAGTTACTTTTCACTCATTTTAAATATGTTCACGAACCGCAAGAATAATAGAATATTTAAAAAAAAAACTTTTTAATAAATTTTCGCTATTCTCAACTTTAGCGGCACCTGCTTACCTAGTTACTCTACCCTCTATCTATCTCTACCATTGAACTAAATACCTGTAACCATTTGTTGTGTATGATTCTCTAGGCAAGGTTTTTTGTTATCTGCTGTGCGCGCACCTCACTTCTGTGTATTTAAGCATTGGAAAAAGAATGCTGATTTTTGCAAAATTCTTCTCTCTTTTTTTTTTTTTCGTATAAGAAATGTTTTGACTCATGTTTTTCGTTCGGTTTTTTTCCTACCTGACATAAAATTTTTTGGAGCACATAAATCATTGATCTTCCACTAGAGGTGTTTTTCGCTGATTTGTTCATACTTTTGTACAAAAGTATTTTTCATAACGTTTGCCATGTTTTCCACCTGCTTTAAATTTATAAAACTTTCCGAAAGAAGAACTGCACAAAAAAAAACAAAAAAACAAAACGACATATGTATGAGCTAATATAAGAAATAATAATGCTCACAGACCATGATTGTATTAAAAAAAAAAAAAAACAAAAAAAAACTATATATATACATCTAATTCTCTTTTTACACGATAGATACGTTAGCAAAAAAAAAAAAAAAATCGTGTAAAATAGGATATTGGCTAAATGGAAAATAGTAGATTGGATCCAGACCTAAAACAAACCAACTGAAAAGTGCAGCAATAAACGATATTAAAAATATCTTCTTAGAGTTTACTTAAGCATTTATTTCATGTTTACGTATTCTAGTTCATTAAATATATTATAAAAGAAAAATTATACTTTGAAAAAGCATTACGTAAAATACACGTTACATCTTTACTCTGCGCATAATTTGTCGAATCCCGCTCATGTACGCATATAATCGGCATGATCCATCCAGAGTGAGAATAAAAAGTAGAAACATGAAAAGATCTTCCGAAAAATTCGTTAAAAAATTCTCAAAACAAAATTAATAGAATTATGAAAATCGTGTTAAAACAGAACGTAAAACG